CATCTGTCAGGTATTTATTTATTCATTATTGGAATGGGCAATAAAATCACTTCTCCTTGAGGTCATCTCATTAGTTAGATGACTAACTCCCCTGAGCACCCTACCTAGAGAGCAGAACAAAAGAACTAGATTTGTAAAAAATTAACTTTTTCTTATTATAAAAACAATATATGATCATTGAAAAACTAGAAAACATTGCTAAAACAAAAACCATAAATTAAAAAGTGCCCATAACGCCATTAGGAAGATGGAGTCTTAAGTGGTCATTTTCACAAGACATCTTTCTTGGTGTCATTCCCTTGGCCTCGCTCCAAATCTCTGGGCTGCTGGACATCTGTTCCTGAAGGAACTACATTCGACACATACTTCTAGTCCAACTTCTCCACAGGTTCAAGGGTGTGTGCAACATACCATTCAACTCCTGACCAAGCACGAGGAACTCACCTGGGATACAATGTGGGAACCTACCTAGAAGGATCATCAGCACATCCAAACAAGTTCATGTGTTCTGAGGGCCTTCTTCCCTTCCGGGCAAGCCACAACCGAAAGCCTGACAGAACTAATAACCCAGCCTTGCGAATCGAACACAAATCACCTTCCCCTCTCCCTATTTACATTAAGAGGCCCCAAACCATTTCTTAGCCAAAAGGCTCACGTTAACTACAAAAGTCCTTAGAGATGCCAGGACAGCTCCAAGCATAATGCAGATTGTCTTTTTAAGTCTATTTGTCTTGCTTCCTATTAGACCAATGGTTCATACCTCTTAGGGTAGGCCTGGTGCCTAACACAAATCCCTCCAACTATTGGGTGCTCAATAATGAGATGAATGATGAGCAAATGTCTACATCCGCCTCCAAGATAAGCATCTGAATTCTGGCTTGTGAGGATGTTTTTGAAGTAGGAGGTTATGCACTCATCGTGGGCACTGTAGCTGTTGAGTAAAAAGAAGGGAGGGGAACTGCATTTGGACACACCTTCTGCTCCTACTCACTTCCCTGTTCTCAAGTTTTGATGAAAGGCACTTCAGAGAGCCAGCAGAAGTTGGAGGGTGGAGAATGTGGTGGTAGAGAGGAGTCAGCCCCTTCTGGCCTCCTTACAAAGGGGGTGGAGTTTCTGCACCTCACCATGCCCGGACTCCAATAGATGCAGGAGTCTTTCCTTTATCTCCTACTTGCCCTCACACACTCAAGGGTTACCTCCATACCCTCCAATGTCTAGGGGCTTTTCCTATAAACCTGCTACTGAAGGAAGCTGCACTGGCAAGCAGTGAGAGAACATGGAGTAGAAATAACAAACAAAGAGGCTGGGAGACAGAGCTGCCAAAACAAACCAAATGCAAAAGGGCTGCCTGCCACCACCTCAGCTGGGCCCAGGCCAGGAGTGCAGACACAAGAACACATACGTGCAGGGAGACACATAGTTCTATCCAGCTCCCTGCTGGTTCCTCAGCTACTGGAGAACTCCAGGGCAAGGGAGCCTCGCAGTCAAGATGACAGGCGAATAGTGGGTAGGGGGGTGTGATAGGAATATCTCCCACAATATCTCCTTCGTCTCCCCCTCTTCCTGCTTTCTAGCCACTGAGTGACCCTCCGGTCCAGAACATGCCTTGCCTATTTACGAATGCCCTTTGTGTCTACCAACTCCTCCACCAGATATAGCGGCTCCCTTCTTTTTTGCCTAGCAAACTCCTATTCAAACTCCAAAACCCAGGTCAAAGGTGAAACCATCTTGGACCCCACAAGAAAGTCAGCATTTCCTTCTCCATATTTCCACATCATGGCTACCCTTACTTCTCTTATAACATATCTTCCTCATTCACAAAAAACTGTTTCCACCTTCCCAATTAAATGATGAACTCCGTTAAGGCAGAGGCCATTTTATACTCACCTATGTATCCCCAGGGCCCAACCCAGGCCTTGGCTCACAGTGGGTACTTATCACATGTTTACTTGTTTGAATGAAGCACTAATCCTTTTGTTAGAAATCTGCTTTCCTGGAACTTCCAGCCAAGATGGAGGCGTAGGTAGAAACACTGTGCCTCCTCACACAACCAAGTTTAAAGACAACAAAGTTTTAGTAACAAAAACACAACCAAAACACAGAAAACTGAAGTATACGGAAGTCTGACAACAATGAAGTTCAGCCTAACCGGTAAGAGGGGTGGAGCCAGCTACGGAACGGAGTCAGGCAGGAAAGATTCGCCAGAGGAGCCAGGAATGCAGGCAGCTGTGGGCGGATCCCAGGTGTGGGGTAGCAACGGGTGGACCCAGTAAGGGCGCAAGGTGGGCAGGCTGACTGCGGTCACACATTCGAGTGCAGATAAACCAGGCGAAAGAGCAAGAAGTGAGACAGACTGCATAGGCCCCAGCAGCGGGAAGCAGCAGAGAGGACCACCATTGCTTCTCTTTGACCCCTTGCCGACATACATCGTCACAACCCAGAAACTGAGTTGCCCCGCCATGGTGAACACCTAGGGCTCTGCCCCTCATACGTAACAGGCACAAACAGACCAAAACATTATTGTTCAAGAAGAACTCAGAGCCCCAGAGTCAATAACTCTAAGTGACCAAGAAATAGCCAACCTGTCAGATGCACAGTTTTAAACACTGATGATCAGGATGCTCACAAAACTGGTTGATTTTAGTCACAAATTAGAGGAACAAATGAAGGCTAAACTAATTGAAATGAAGGGAAATGCACAGGAAATCAAAAGTGATGAAAAGGAAACTGGGACTCAAATCAAAGGAGTGGACCAGAAGGAAAAAAAAATGACCAAACAGAAAAGGATGAAGAAACAAGAATTCAAAAAAATGAGGAGAGAGGCTTAGGAACCTTCAGGACATCTTTCAACGTTCCAACATCCGAATTATAGGGGTACCAGAGGGGGAAGAGGAAGAGTTACAAGTAGAAAACTTATCTGAATAAATAATAAAGGAGAACTTCTCCATTCTGGCAAAGGCAACAGACTTCCAGGAAATCCAGGAAGCTCAGAGAGTCCCAAAGAAGTTGGACCCAAGAAGGAACACACCAAGGCACATCATAATTAGCCAAGATTAAAATGAAGGAGAGAATCCTAGAAGCAGCAAGAGATAAGGAGACAGTCACCTACAAAGGAGCTCCCATCAGACTGTCAGCTGATTTCTCAAAAGAGACCTTACAGGCAAGAAGGGGCTGGAAAGAAGTATTCCAAATCATGAAATCCAAAGACCTACATTCAAGATTGCTCTGTCCAGCAAAGCTTTCATTTAGAATGGAAGGGCAGATAAAGTGCTTCTCAGATAAGATCAAATTCAAGGAGTTCATCATCACCAAGCCCTTATTATAAGAAATGTTAAAGGGACTTATCTAAGAAAAAGAAGATAAAAAAGTTGAACAGTGAAAGGACAGCAAACTCACAGTTATTAAGAACCACACCTAAAACGAAAGCAAACTAAGAGGACAGCTAGATCAGGAGAGGAACCATAGAAATGAAGATCACATGGAGGGTTAGCAACAGGGAAGTGGGAGGAGGAGAAGGGGGGAGAAGGTACAGAGAATAAGTAGCATAGATAGTAGGTAGAAAATAGGGGGGAGGGCAAGAATAGTATGGGAAATATAGAATCTAAAGAACTTGAGACACGTGGACATAAACTAAAGGGAGGGGGAATGGTGGGGGAGGGGTATGCAGGGTGGAGGGGAATGAAGGAGGGGAAATAGGACAACTGTAATGGCATAATCAATGAATATATATATATATTTTTTAATATTTTATTTATTTATCTTTAGAGGGGAAAGGAAGGAGAGAGGGAGAGAACTGGCCTGCAACCCAGGCATGTGCCCTGACTGGGAATCGAACCGTGGTTGCTTGGTTCCCAGGCCCGCGCTCAATCCACTGAGCTACACCAGCCAGGGCTCAATGAATATATTTTAAAAAAAGAAATCTGCTTTCTTGAGTTACTGGCAGTCACTCATCCGGCATCAAGGTCCCTCATCAATAGGAACACTCAAGCCAGAGGAATTTCAGTACATGAGAAGCCTGATTTTCAAAACCCAAACCAAACCACCTTCAACAAACTACAGCAAAATTCTGTTACTACCCTTTAAATCAGAGACTTTCAAACTTGTGATCTCAACCTAAGTAAAGCACAATTTACATACCTAATACACGTGTATATATAAATACAATAACTGAAAGAGTGGCAACAAAACTGTTACTTTCAGGTAAGTAACCCACCCTACTCTCCTTTTCAGGTATACACCGACTTTACATAGCGGACAGGCAGAGGCAGTGGGATGGGTGGGCACTAAGTTCGATACTTTTTATTGCTTAGGACCATGGCTGGTTACAGACCACAGTTGTACTTTTTTTTACTTGCTTTTTAAGTCTATGATCCAGTACAATGACTTTAAGACTCACTACCCACTTTGATAAACATTGCTTTAGATGACTCTAGTTTGATAAACATGAGATCAGATCTTTCTAAAAATACCCAACTGCAAAGTATTTATTATCTGTGTGCCCAGTAATTCAGGAGGGAGGCTTTCCTTTCCGATTAGAGCAGCCCAGCCAGAAGGGTTTCAAGGGCTCTGGGCCATAGCTGCTTGGACCCACAGGACCAGGAAACAAATAAAGCCCTATGTCAATTCCTACCACCAGGGTCTGATACATTCTCAAACCCTCACCTTTCCCGTGCCTGAGAACCTCTACCACAGCCCATGCTTCTGTGCAGAAGACTCTCCCAGCCGCATTCAGCAGGCAAGAGGGTACACCTTACCCATTCAGCCTGCCTCTGAGAGAATGAGAAATTTTAAGGCAAACACTGGGTTGTTGGGCTTCTGTACTGTACTGTAAAGTTTATGTTACCATGTCCATATTACAATCCACACCCTCTGTGAAGGCACTCAGGTTCTCCACCTGCACCTAACACTATCAAGTTTCCTACTCTCCTTTTCAGGTATACACGGACTTTACACAGGGGACAGGCGGAGGCGGAGGCAGAGGCAGTGGGGTGGGTGGGCACTAAGTTCGATACTTTTTATTGCTTAGGACAATGGCTGGTTACAGACCACAAAGATTCAGGAAGGCCCGGTTGCTGGGCCCAACAAGAGACATTCTCCCCCTCTCAATTCAGAATCTTTTGGGCTAAGAGACGACAGGCTTTTCCTTATATGGCTCTGGTAGGAGATCCATGACAGTACTCAGTACAAGGAGAGTCATACCTGAGTCTAGCTGAGGGTAGGTGGATGAGGAAAGCCAGACTCATTTTATTACTTGGGTGTGACCCTGAAGACTCGGATGTGGATGGCCGAGTTGTTTCTGATGCGGGTCAGTGGCTCTTGTGCATCAGTCTCTGGTTCTAGCTCATCAACAAGCTCCACAGTAGAGGTATTGGCAGCCACCTGCAAAGACCCGAAGCTGCCCGCCTGAAGCTGTAGGGCAATGTTGATTGCACGGTTGATAGCCAGGCCCAAGCCATGAATGTAGATCTCAGTGCATGCGTTCTGACCCCGCGACCCTCCGTCCAGCAGCTTCTGGCAGCGGGCCAGTTGGGCCTTAAAGTCAGTCTTCATGTTAACATAAATGTCATTGGGCCTCCGGGGCAGACGGTGGGGCAACCGCTTCCGAAGGGTGTACTCCACGGGATCCAGCTCAGCCTCGATGGCCCCGCGGTGCTCTCGGTTTTCTGCCATGCTGTGTGCCCTAGCACAGGAAAAAGACAAGATCAGCGGGGTAAGACAAGCGACTCCACTTCTTTCCTTATCCCATTTCCTACTCAAAAGGTGTAGCCAGGAGGGGGCGTACTCAACGCTTCTCTTCCCTTCTAGCCTGCCCATCACCTCAAGCTCCTGTGTCTCCTCCACTTCCCATTCTTTCATCACCTTGTCCCCTACCTCGGGTCCCTCCACCACCCCCTTCCCTGGCTCTTTTTCCACGCCTACTAAGTGAACGCGGCCCTCTCCCCTACCAGGCCACTCACGCGTTGTGCCGACTGGCCCAAATAGAAGGTGCAGCCCAGGACCGCTAGACCTCAAAAAGGGAAGAAAAGGTGAGCTTAACAAAAATGTTAACACCGTTTCTAAGAGGGCAGAGTGCGCTTGCGCACCCACCCAGTGAGAGACCCACCAATCACCTTCCAGGCCTCCTTTCTCCCCGCCTCTTTCCTGGAAGATGGAGGAACCGCGAGGTGTGTAAATAACGCGAGGCTGAGGGGGCGGGGCGGTTATGGGACCTACAACACGTAAGCGTCAGAGGCGGTGCACGATCACTACCTCACTACCCCGGTGGCATTGTGGGGCGGGGGTGGAGGGTGGGTTCATATTCTAGGGGCGGGGCAAATGTGGGTGAGGATCTTGCAAAGAAAGGGAGGTAAGCTCAGGGGATTGTCATCGAGGAGACTGAAGACGAATCTGGACTCCTACATCCATCGCAGTTTCTCTGGTCGGAGAGTGTGGTGGAGTGGATAGAACTGACCTCCTGCCCAAAGAGTGGCCAGGTGTCGCCTTCCACGGAGGACAGTGTACCTGGACTCCTCTGCAGTTCATGGGGACCCGTGCCTCTCCTCTACCTTTTCAAGGGCTGACCCCAGGCCAACCCGTGTGGACCCAAACTATGCGGCCCAGGTTTCACAGCTTCCTGGGGGTACACTGAGCCCCACACACCCCTCAACTATTACCCACCAGTTCTGCTGCTGGGAGCAGGGACATGCGCCCTCTAGCGGGAAGGACAAGGGAAAGTGAGAATGGGGGAGTGGTGGTTCCTGGCTCCCTAAGGCCAATGGGGAGAGGTTGACTCTGCCTGGAGTGGAAGTCCTCTGCCCAGATTGGTGAAGCCTCTGGAGAGTTCCCTTTGGAAATGCGTTAGACCTGCACTGGGGACCTCGAACTACTCTTCTTTATTTCCCATCCCTCAAATGGGGATATGTATCTTGACATGGAATTGTGAAGCCCAATATAACCTTGTAAACTGGAAGCCTACACACCTGAGTTGGCATTTTTTATGGCCCCCAAACCCCTTTAAGTTGTCAAAGGTGGAGTCTAACCTCATTTTACTAGAGGTTAGAGGTTCTCATCCTAAGAACTCTCAGCATGATTAAATCCCATAGTTCTTCTTTTAGCTCCAGATTCTTTCATTAACTACAAGTTAGGCCACAGGGGTGTCAAACTCTTTCACCAGGGGCCATATCAGCCTCACCGTTGCCTTCAAAGGGCCGAATATAATTTTAGGATTGTATGAATGTAACTACTCCTTAACTAGGGGCAAGGAGCTCAGCACTAACACTGGGTAGAAACAATGTGCCCGGCCGGATAAAACAAGGTGGAGGGTTGGATTCAGCCCATGGGCCTTGTTTTTGCCACCCATAAATTAGGGGTTGGGGTGGGGCGAGGGGGGGAGAGGTAGCAGATGAGGAGGAAAGGCTGGCTACCACCTATTCTGCCTCTGAAGTAACATCTGAGATGAGTCTTTAATTTTTTTAAATATTTTATTTATTTACTTTTAGAGAGAGGGGGAGGGAGAAAGAGAAGGTAACATTAATGTGCCAGAGATACATCAATCGGTTGCCCCTCACACACCCTAAATTAGAGACCTGGCCCACAACCCAGGCATGTGCCCTGACTAGGAATCAAACCAGTAACCTTTCTGTTCACAGACCAGTGCTCAATCCGCTTGCTGAGCCACACTTGCCAGGGCTATTTCTATTTTCATTTTCTATTTTAGAGAGTGAGAGGAAGAGAGAGAGAGAGAAACATGGATTTGTTGTTTCATTTATTTATGCATTCATTAGTTGATTCTTGTATGGGGGGAACCCCTGGAATTATCTTTTGGAGGGCAGGGTCCTTGCAGTGCAGGCTTCCCCCACTAGGTGAGTGTTCTAGGAACCCATCTGTATCAGTGTACCTGCTGGCATTGTTGTGAGAGGCTGCATTTGACTTCAGTGAATTTTTTTTAAGACCCTTTCAACATGTTTGCCCATTTCACAATGGGTGATTTACGAGAACACCTACCCACACAGTGCTGAGTGTTCAGCAGTTTTTGACCAGAAAAACCTCATGACCCTGTACTCCATTCTCCCTACTCACCTGATCTCACCTTGAGAGACTTTTTTTGTTTCCACAGATGAAAAAAGTCCTCAAAAAAAAAACATTTTGCTGATGTGGAAAAACAAAAACAAAAAGTGGCAAAGCACTAACAGGTACCAAAATCGAGTTCAAAAACTGTTGAACAGTGGAAAAAAATCTCAATAGGTACATTGCATCAAATGGAGAGTACTCTGAAGGTGAATGAAATTTAAACATTTAAAAATAAATAATTTTTTATAAATAAATTCCAGGTTTTTTTGGTCCCTAACCAGAGATGGAACCCGCAACTGTGGCATATTGGGAAGATGCTCTAAAATAACTGAGCTACATGGGCAGGGTTTTAATAGATGAAAAGTTCTTCCGGGAACCAAGAAGTATTGTGGAACTGAACAGTACTTTTAAAAGAAGGGGGGCATAATCTAAGCTTCTACCTCAAGGAACTAGAAAAAGAAGAGCCAAATAGAGCCAAAGCAAAAAGATAGAAAAAAATATATACAGCTAAATTCAATGAAATTGAATATAAAAAGACAATAAAACTCAAACCAAAAGCTAGTTCTGAAAACATAAATAAAATTGATCTAGCAAGACTGGCAAAAAAAAAGAGAAAGAAAACTCAAATTATGATTATTAGAAATGGAAGTGGCCCTAGCTGGTGTGGCTCAGTGGATTCAGCGCTGTCCTGTGAACCAAAGGGTCACCAGTTCGATTTCCAATCAAGGCACATGCCTGGGTTATGGGCCAGGCCCCCAGTGGGGGGCAGCTCAGGAGGCAACCACACATTGATGTTTTTCTCCCTGTTGTCCTCCCTTCCCTCTCTTAAAATTTAAATTAAAAATTTAAATAAATAAAAAAATTTAAATCTTAGGGAAAAAGACAGAAATGAAAGCAGGTATAGCACTAAAGATAACTCACACACTAAAAGATACTAAGAGAGTTTGTAGCCATACCACCCTGAACACACCCGATATCGCCTGAGCCAGGAAGTAAAAGATACTAAGAGAATAATAAAAACAACCCTACATACATAAATTGACAACTTAAATGAAATGGACCAATTCCCAGACAACCACAACCAACCAAACTTACTCAAGAGTGAAATAGATAACCTGAACAGTTTTATTTATTAAAGTAAGTAATGGCTTAAAAAAAACTTTTAGAAAAAGAAATATCTAGGCCCGGGCGGTTTCACTGGTGAATTCTACCAAAAGAAGTAACACAAATTCTACACAATCTCTTCCAGAAAACAGATTAGGAAGGAATATTTCCCTACCAGTTTTATGAGGTCAAAACCAGACAAACACAAAAGAAGAAAACTACAGACTGATACTGCTCATGGACAAAGATCCAAAATTCCTCACAAAATATTAGCAAGTGGAATCCAACAGCAGCCCCCCTTTATCTACAGTTTCACTTTCCATAGTGTGAGTTATCCATAGTCAACTGCAGTCTGAAAATATTATGTGGAATATTCCAGAAATAATTCATAAGTTTTAAATTGTGCACCATTCTGAATAGTGTGATTAAATCTTGCCTTCCTGCTCTCCGGGGATGTGACTCATCCCCTTGTCCAGCACATCCACACTATACCTACTACCCACCCATTAATCACTTAGAATCCAATTTGGTTATCAGATCAACTGTCAACATACGGCAGTGCTTATATTCAAGTAACCCTTATTTTACTTGAAAGTTCCTAAAAATTTATTGATTTTAGAGAGAGAAGGAAAGGGGGAGTGAGAGGAACATCAATTTGTTGTTCCATTTATATATTTATCATAAGTTGATTCTTGTACGTGCCCTGATTAGGGATCAAACCCACAACCTTGGCGTATCAGGACAATGCTATAAGCAACTGAGCTACCCAGCCAGGGCAATAACCCTTATTTTACTTAGTGACTCCAAAAAGCAAGAGTAGTGAGGCTGGCAGCCCTGGTTCGTATAGCTCAGTGGATTGGGTGCTGGCCTGCAAACCAAAAGTTAGTAGGTTCGATTCCCAATGAGGGTACATGCCTGGGTTGCAGGCCAGGTCCCCAGTCGGGACTATATGAGAGGCAACTGATCAATGTGTCTCTCACACATCAGTGTTTCTCTCCCTCTCTTTTTCCCTCCCCCAACCCTCTGAAAATAAATAAATAAAATATTTTTTAACCCTGGCTGGTATAGCCCAGTGGATTGAGCGCAGGCCTGTGAAGCAGACGATCGCGATTCGATTCCCAGTCAGGGCACATGCCTGGGTTGCAGGCCAGTTCCCAGCTGGGGCCAGTTCCCAGCAGGGGATGCACCAGAAGCAACCATACATTGATGTTTCTCTCCTTCCCTTCCCCTTTAAAAATAAATGAATAAAATCTTTAAAAAACATATTTTTAAAAATAGTAGTGAGGCTGGCAATTCGGATATGCCAAAGAGAAGCCATAAACTTCTTCCTTTAAGGGAAAATATTTGTGTGTATAAGAAAAACATAGTATATATAGAGTTTGGTACTATCTGTGGTTACAGGTAACCACTGGGATCTTGGAATGTATCCCCAGCAGTTAAGCAGGGACTACTTTATACAAAAGAATTTTAAACCATGACTAAGTAGAACTGATTTCAAAGATGTTTCAATATAAGGAAGCCAATCAA